GGGGGGGTCCCGGAACCCTGGGAGGTACTGGAGGGGTCCCTGAGTGCTGGGGGTGCTGGAGGGGTCACTGAGCCCAGAGCGGTCCCGGGGGGTGTCCCTGAAACGGGGATGGGCCTGGGGAGGGGGGGTCCTCCTGATCCCTGCCAGGGTCCTGGTGAGGGGTCCCTAAGCCCCGGGGGGCACCGGGGGCGCTGGAGGCCCTGGAGGAGGTCTGGGGTGCTGGGTTCCTACCGTGGCCCTGGGCCCTGCCCTGCTGCCAAGGAGCCACGAGCCCAGGGACACGCTGGGGGCCGGCACGCCTCAGTGGTCCCTCTCGGTGGCTCCGCTGGCCCGTGGAGCCCACCGCCACCTTCAGCTGCTGTGAGGTCCCACGTTGAGGGGGTTGTTCTCCAAAACCCCTCACCTCCGCTCGTTTCATTTGGGGCTGGGTCGCTCCCTTCAGTGGGCCCTAATTCTCACGCTGCGGGAAGCAGGCGATGACCCTGCTCTCCCCACCTTCTCCATGCAGATCTCTACGACTCTCCTCCAAAGCAAGGACAACTCCTTACTCCCTCTGTCCTCACACAGAAGTGCTCCTACGGTCGATCACTGCCTTCTCTGTGACTTCACTGCTCTTCCCTCATCCTCGGGAGGGAGGAGCTGGGAGGGTGTCCAAATGGGATGCTCCAGGGGTTCCTGCCCTGGATAACACTGGTTCTTCTGCCTCTGCCGGACCAGTTCTCGCAGTATGATCCTCCTTTAGGACCAGTCCCCATGCAAACTGCCACTTATTCCTACCCATCGGCCGTGCACTGTACTAGTTATCAACATGAAAGGGGCCTTCTTCCCTACCTTACTGGGTTGCTCCAAGAGCTCTCCATGAGGGATGCAGTCAGATTTATTTTTTGCGAAATCCCACTTGCAAAGGGGCTCACGGAGGCCTGTGGCCACTGCCACCAACTTGGAGGAGGAGGAGTACCAGCTCTCCCTGCTGCATCTAATCCTCTCCTGTATTTTCTTGGAAACATGGAAGAGCAAAGACCTTCCCAGAGTTACAGGAGAACAAAGAAGTCAGCACACCAGCCCCACGGCTTGAGGACCCCATGGGATGGTCCCTTGATGTGCTGGTGCAGGAACTGCTCTGAATCCCTACTGCAAAGGGCGTTCTCCTCTCGGAGACCCAAAATTGGACATTCGTCCTTCCCAGAGCTGATCCTGTCTTTCTCTCCCCAGCTAGCGTTGGTCCCTCGCAGTGCTGTTTCTCTAACGCATTGAAGCTGCGGCACTTCTGGAGATGGAAGAAAACCAGATAACCCTGGACAACCTTGAGAAGGGCGCAGATAACCCAGCTTTCAGCTCCGTGGTAAGTGCCCCCTTCCCCTCCTGTCGGGGTACAGGAGCTGCTCAGGGTGCTCCAGCTAATGATGTTTTCCAGGGGGAGGAGCGACTCTATGAGGAATGTGATGGTCCATGTGGTGAGAGCAAAGAGGAAAAGAGAGGAGAAGGGAAAGGGAGATTCTCCTCCTACTGCAGGTAGGATAACCCCTGGAGATACGTGTGAGGGGGTATTTCCAGTGGTCATAGCAAGTCTGCAATCCTTGGGCCAGCGATTCTCCTGGAGCCAAACCTGATCTGGGAGCAGGGTAGGGTCATATTGACCACGTAGGGGGGGACAGTGCCTGATGGCTCCGGATAGCTTTGTAGGGTGGCAGTGGCAGGTCTTTGTCCCCATAGCGGCCACCCAGAGCAAGCCTCCTCTCATGGTGCCCAGGGCGTTGGGGTGTGTACTGGGGTCTCCCCTGCCATAACAGGCCAGCTCACTCCTCCTGGGAGCGGGCAGCAGAGCTGCTAGAGGTCACGGCACACCTCTACCACCATGCTGCTGCCACAGGCGCCCTCTGGGAGGCATGGTCATGACCTGGCTCCGTTGAGTTGGGTTGGGTTGATCTTCAGGATACATCTTCTGCGCCTCTCACCTCTTTGGCATGTGACTCTCCCCAGGAAGGCCCTGCAGCCGGCATCCAAGGCAAAGCGCTTCTGCAAGGCTCATGTCAAGGTGTTGAAAAGGGTCCTCCTGGGGCTCCTTGGAGTAGGTGAGGACTTCCCGGCACTGAGACTCCATCTCCACATCCCTTTGCCTGGCCTTGCCCCCAGCCTCCAAGCACTGGACATGGCCACTCGTGTGGAGGTTGTATCCGCTCTTCACCAGCCCCACTGCCTGCCCCCTCCTCACCCCACCACTGCTGTCCATGAGGGCTACCTGCACCTCACTGTCCTCCTCCCCTTTCTTCACCTACCCAAAGGGTTTGCTGTGCCTCTTCTCCTCGCACCATGTGCCCCCAGACAGCTGAGGTGCTGTCACCAGTGAGCCTGGCTGTTGGGGTGGTGCTCCCTAAGTCCTCCTCGCGCACAGATGGAGCCTCAAGGGTGGCCAGGGAAGGACATTTGGAGGAAATGAACTTCCTTGTTGGCCCTGGTTAGTGTTATGAATCCGTGATCCTACGGCCCTGATGTTTCTGACCCCCAGTGTGCCTTCTCCAGCCTACCTGTGCTACTTTATTGCGGCCTGTTGGCTCAACTTCCAGCGAGCCCTTGCCTTGGTTATCATGACTGCTGTGGTTGTCTTCTTCATCTGCTGGAGCCTCTTCAAGAAGCACTGTGGGGCAAAGGTATTGCTGCTCCTCCGCCCCGTTTGGAAAGGCTTCCAAAAGGTCTGGCCGTGGCTGAAATGGTGAGTCAGGAAAAGGCAGGGCCAGATCCCTCCCAGCGCCCGTGTCCCCTCTCCCGTGGCTGCCCTGCCAGCACAACCAACAGCTGGTGGCGTTGGGTACGTGCCCTAGTGCCGTGCAGGCACCTCATGAACAATGAGGCGTGGCCCAGCCTGGGGACCACTTAAAAGCCTTGGCAGAAACGTCTTACTACTCTACCTTAGTAGCGTGATGGCTATTCACACCCCTCATTTGTGTCCGAGCCCCAGGTTTCTTCAGATGCGTGGACCTTACAGTGGCATCTCCCACACAGTTAGCTCCTGCCCTTCGTGAGCTGCTCTCCCCATGGGGACATCCTCTCTGTGACAGTCTGGGATTTCCTTTGCAGGCTGCTGGTGGTGGGCCACCTGGGAGGCCTGATCACATGGCTGGCTTTGGACAACTCCAGAAATCCAGAGCAGCTCATCTCATTAGCTGGCTTCTGCTTTTTGGTGCTGTTCCTGTTTGCCTGCTCCAAGCACCACGGCGCAGTATGTGTTTCAGATGTGGCTTGGCCATTGGTCCCCTCGCAGGAGGTGGCCACCCAGCACTGGGGAACAAGTGCTTCCTTCCCACTGGCATCCCTTGATGGCCCATCGCTGGAGCTCCCTGGAGGAAGCAGAAGCCCAGCAGGGCTCCTGGGCAGAGCTGGGCACAGCCTGGGGAGCCGAGCTGGTTGGGTGGACGGAGCCCCAAAGCCACCTCACTGCTCTCCTTCCCACTGCTCTCCTTCCCACTGCTCAACCCAGGGCTCCCCCACAGTGCCTCCATCCTGGTTTTTCCACTGTGTCCCTCATAGTGGGTCAGACCCAGAGACCCAGCATCAGACCCATGCCTGAGCTTCAGGTGCCTGTGGGTGGAGGGTGGGCCTGAGCTTCGGGTGCCCTGGGTGACTTGGACAGAAGTGATTGAAGTCCCAGTGGCTTCCAGCCCAACCTGCTTCAGTGTTTTGGGCAATCCCTCCATCCGCCTGTCCAAGGGGTTAATGAAGTCAAACCATCAGAAGGTCTCTGTGCTCGTCTCCTCCTGGGTAAGCCTGGCAGGTTATGTTCCACCACCTGAGTCCCACCAGCTCATCTTCTTCCTCTATCACCAACCTATGTTTGTGGGTTTCTGTGACACTTTCTTTATTAGTATCCCCATGACCCTCACCCGGGGCACAACGTAATGGTGTTTGCCATGTGCAGCTGTCGAAGGGGCAGGAAGCCAGAGAGGGAAGTCTGTAGGCTTTGCTAACATCTCAGTCCCTGTTCTGCTCTTGGTCCCCAGGTGTCCTGGAGAGCAGTTTCCTGGGGTATTGCCTTGGAGTTCTTATTTGGACTCTTAGTCCTCCGAACAACCCCCGGCGTCCAAGCTTTCCAGTGGCTGGGTGACCAGATCCAGGTACCGCATCTGCTCACCCCACCCCGTGCTTGCGCCCTCCATGTAGCCCCCCCTGGGATCAGCAAGAAGAGCAGAGGGTGGCATGGGGTGGAGAAGCTGCAGGGACTGCACGCTCACAAACACTTTTGTCTGGGACTGGAGAAAAGCCAGCTCTTTCCTGGTTTTCTGCAGCAGCCCAGACCCTTCGGTGCAGTCTTCCTTGCAGGCCAGAACAGTGACCCGTGGCTTGGAGGCAGCCCGCCAGTGTCCCCAGCTGAGGTTTCAGAGGGTCATTCTCTGGCAGGGCGGTGAAGTGAGCTGTGGGGCTGGGGGTGCAGACCCCTGCTAGGTAGAAGTGAGATGTCAGGGAAAGAGCTAATGGAGATCTCTGTCCTACCATGTAACTTCTCCACTTGCAGTTATTCCTGGGCTACACCACAGCTGGCTCCAGCTTCGTCTTTGGGGAAAAGCTCACTGAAGAAGTCTTTGCCTTTCAGGTCAGCTTGGGGAATGGGGTATGGGGAGGGAGAGGCAGAGCCTGGTTTTCTTCTGGTCTGGCTGCCTTGCTGGGTCCTGGAGAGCACGGAGCTAAATGCAGCCAGGTTTGCTGCAGCAGAGCTCAACCAGCTCAAGGATGGGTCTCTCTCAGCTTTGTACCCACCCGTGGGCCTCCTCAGTGCCATGGGGGATTTGCACTGATCCCTGTCCCCCCTGCCAGCCTGGCCCAGTGTTGTAGCACCCCAATAGCGTGGGCTGGCTATGCAATACCACACCATGCCCGGCTCATGGGACAGAGGGGCTTGGTCCCCAAGTGACTTAGATGTGCTGCTCAGCTCTCCTTTAACCCTGTGCCCTGGTGCCTTGCCTGCAGACGCTGCCCATTGTTGTTTTCTTCAGTTGTGTGATGTCCATCCTCTACTACCTCGGTGTCATGCAGTGGCTCATTGTCAAGGTAGGGCCTCACACCTGGCTCTGGGATGGTGGTGGAAAGGAGAAGAACCTGGTGGGTTCTCCGACTACTGTGATCAGCTGAGGGATGTCCCAGGAAAATTGGCATGGTACTAATTTGGGGTGATTTGTCCTGCTTAAAAGAATAGACAGAAACCCCCTCTTTCTTGCATGTCCTCCTGAGAAAGCCCAACCCTGGAGTTGATGTTGCTACCTGGTCTGTGGGCGCTTCCCAAGATCACCTCTGCGCAGCTTGAGGGCCAAACAGTGCCCTGCTTCATGGGGTGGGTGGCAGGGTGCCAGGAGCCTTTGTGAACATGGTGGCCTTGTCTTTCCCCAGATCTCCTGGCTGCTTCAGGTCTCGATGGGCACCACTCCCGCTGAGACCCTGAGTGTGGCAGGGAACATTTTTGTGGGACAGGTAAGGTCCTGGGCAGGAGATCCAGCTCCTCAGGCCTTGCAGCTGACCCTGCCCTGGAGGAAGGGTCTTCTCCTCCCTTCCCAGGAGACCTGCGGCCCTGCGTGGCCCTGTCTCGAGGACAACAGGGTTTTCTCTCTCGCAGACTGAAGCCCCGCTGCTCATCCGCCCGTACCTTGCAGACATGACCCGTTCAGAAATCCACGCTGTGATGACTGGTGGCTTTTCCACCATTGCAGGCAGTGTGATGGGTGCCTACATATCCTTTGGGGTGAGTGCACGAGCAGATGTATGCCACATGCTCCCTGCTATGGGGTCCTGACACGCCAGAACTGCCCTGGACTTGCGGGTGGGAGAAGACCCCCCATCAAGTGTCCCATGGTCCCCTTCCATAAGCAGGATAGGGGCAGGGTGCCTCCATGTCCAGCCTCACCTTTGCTGGCCTGGCCAAAACCCCGGAGCCCTGCCAGGTAGAAGGCACTGCCGTGGGACCATCGCTGTGTGTCCTTGCACAGTGAGCAGGGCAAATCTCACTGAATCACGGGATAATTTAGCCTGGATGGACCCTCTGGGGGTCTCTCATCCACCCTCCTGCCCAAATGAGGTGATGGCAAAGCCCAAGAGGATGCCCAGGCCCTTGTCTGGGTTTGTGGTGAACATCCCCATGGGTGGAGATCTCCCCCCACCTCTCTGGTCCACCCCATAGGTGCCTCGGTCACAGGGAACAATTTTTTCCTTATATCCAACTGGAATTTCCCCACTGAAACTGTGCCGTTGCTTCTCACCCTTTCACTGGGCACCTCTGAGCAGTGTCTTCCCTCCAACCCCCTTTTAAGTAGTTGAGAACAGCAACTACAACCCCCCCCAGCCCTCTTTTCTCCCAGCCCCGCTCCTCCAGCATCACCTTGGTGGTCCTGTGCCCCGACCCCCCCGGGGATGCCCTCTCCAGTTCATCAGTGTCTCAGCCCTGGACACGGTGTCCAGACGTGGCCTCATCAGTGCTCTGTAATGGGGAATAAACCTTCCCCTCGACCTGTTGGCTAAGCTCCTGCTATTTAAACATTAATTAGTCTCCTTAAATGGGGAGCCAAGGGTGAAAGGTCAGAGAAATGAGACATTGCCACTTGTGGGCAGGGGAGGGGTGAGACTGGGAGCTTGGCTCTTCGTCAGCAGGTAGAAGTTCGCAATGTTGCACAACCTATTGCTCTGATACTGATAAAAAGGGACAAGGAAGGGACAAGAATCATCATGATTAGGTCAAACAGCAGGAGAGGTTAACACCTCTGAGGCCACGATCACTGCAGCTCCAGCAATGCCTCCATCCAGGCGAGCTGCCCTACGTGCTGTGGCCGGCTGAGAAGGGAAAAAGTCTCCCATGGATGGAGATATTTTTCCCACCCTGAGCAAACCGAGAGCCCTGAAGTGCTCCGAGCGTCGCTGGCTGATGCCAGCCATGTGCTGGGGTGCCCTGGGGTGGCACGTCACGGGGCGCAGCCTTGCACAGAGGTGCCTAAGCCCACGGTCTGCGCGTTGCAGATAGATGCGGCATCACTGATCGCAGCCTCCGTGATGGCTGCGCCCTGTGCCCTCGCCATGTCCAAACTCGTCTACCCTGAAGTGGAAGAGTCCAAGTTCAAGGGCAAAGCGAGCATCCGCCTCTCCAGTGGGTGAGTGTGAGGAGAGGGATGGTGGAGTGGGGCTGCACGCGTCCTGCCAGTGCGGGGAAGCTGTGGGGGCAATTTGGGGGCACAAGTGGACGTTGCGGGTGGCCCGAGGTCAGGAGAGCCTGTGGTGTGCAGTCATCCATGGAGTGAGAGCTGACCTTGCACAGGGGATGCCTGGCCACAGGAGCCCATTGGGGTCTTTTTACACGCAGGGAAGAGCAGAACATCCTGGAAGCTGCGAGCAACGGGGCTGCCGCCTCCGTGGGGCTCGTGGCCAACATAGCGGCCAACCTCATTGCCTTCCTGGCGGTGCTGGAGTTCATCAATTCTGCCCTTCGCTGGTTCGGAGAGATGGTAGACATCAAGGGCCTCTCCTTCCAGGTATCCCCAAGGGTAGCCCCATGGTCTGGGCTGCCAGATCCTGCATCCTGCACCCATCCCCACCTTTGCCCACCGCCTGAGTAGGCTGCCGAGACCCTTGCTGGGTGTTTGGCAAATGCTGGCAGCGGGTGTCCAAGCCAGGGGCTATGCAGGTGGTCAGCTCTGAGTTGCTCCCTTCCGGGATGCTTTTCCCAGGTGATCTGCTCCTACGTCCTCATGCCCGTGGCCTTTCTCATGGGGGCTGACTGGGCAGACTCACCGCTGGTGGCCGAGCTCTTGGGCATCAAGATCTTCCTGAACGAGTTTGTGGCGTACCAGCAGCTGTCCACGTACAAGAAGAACCGTCTGTCAGGCCTGGAGGAGTGGGATGGGAGCCGGAAGCAGTGGATATCTGTGAGGGGCACCCGCCACCCTGCCGGGCACAGGGCAGGGATGGAGCCAGCCGAAATGGGGCATGGGACCTGGCCAGGCAGATGGGTGGTGGGCAGGCAGGGAGATGGTGGTGTTGGGGGTGGGAGGGCACCTATGGCCAACTAGACTTGGATGTTCACTAACTGCTGGGTACGGGGTCATCCTGAAGGAGCCAGTGAAGGCCTTTTCCATTTATCCTGCTCCTTGGTGGAGCAGATCATGGTGCTACAGGGCCCCCTGTCCCCCCAGCCCAGCCTCTCCCAGGGGCAGGCTGCCTACCACCTGCATCCTTGCTCCAAAAAATAGCTGAAGGAGAAAGGATTGGGGTGGGGGACTTATCTCCATCATGTCCGGCTGGGCTGGGAGCTACGACATGGTGCTCAGCTCAGGTTGCTCTGGGGCTGCTCCGGGGTGGAGGTGACCATCCCCTGCCGCTGTGCCCTCCAGGAACGAGCCGAGAGCATCACCACCTTTGCACTCTGCGGATTCGCCAACCTCAGTTCCATCGGGATCATGCTGGGAGGCCTAGGTGAGTGTGACCCACGTCCCGGGTGCCTGGGCATGATACAGGGCGATCCTGGGCCCAGGGAGCAAGGACTCAGCTGTAGCAGGAGGAATTTGCTGCCCTGAAGCCTCCATGTTCCGTCTCTGCCAGCACACAGATAAGAAACAAGATTTGCATGAGGTGATAGGGATGATTTTGCACTGCACCCATGGGCAAGAGCACGTGTATGTCCCACAAGCCCAGGTGCCACCCAGTCATGGGGCAAAGAGCAGAGACTCCAGTGCTGAGAGCGCCACGGGCTCTGGTTGATCACCCATGGGTGCAGGGTGGGCACAGCGCTCTGCCAGCACCCACCGCTGCCAGGACGGGCAGACAGCATGCTGGGTGCTGGCTGGGATCACCATGTCCCCCAGACACCAGGGGTTGGGGTGGGCAGCACACGATGTGGCAGAGCCAGCCGGGGACCTGGGACACATCCCTATCTGTTCCCAGCCTGCGGTAGAGCTGGAGCAAGGATCTGACTCGCCCCAGTCTCTGCTTTACCCCTGCAGCCTCCATGGTACCCGAGCGCAAGGGCGACTTGGCCTCCGTCGTGCTGCGAGCCCTGCTCACTGGCATCTGCGTCTCCATGCTCAACGCCTGCCTGGCAGGTAGGTCCCTGCCCACTGCCAGCGGGGCCAGAAAGAACCAGGGAGGGACAGGCAAAGGGCTGAAGACCCCTATAAATGCAGGTGCGGGGGTGGGGACGGCTGGCCTGTCCTCCCCATCGCTCTGCCAGGGCCTCCAAACCCTCTGCTCTCCCCTCATGGCTTTGCCAGGGCCTGCCCAAGCCCAATAGCTCTGCTGGGGCCCCTCATCCTCATCTGGGCTGGGACAGGGACATTTCAAGGTCAGCTTTTGGGGCACTGCAAGGAGTTCCCCGGGGCCACTGCTGCAACCATCTCGGGGGTGAGGTGGGACGGCGCATGGGGCCTGCAAGCACAGTCCCAGGTACAGGATTTGCAAGCAAGCATAGTCGGGGTATGGGATTTGTGAGCAGGGTTGCAGTACATGATTTGCAAGCATGCTCGGGGTAAGGGATTTGCATGCATGTCCCTCAAGAGCCGCAACCAGAAGACCTTGTCCCCCAGGTCTCCTTCATGTGCCAACGGAGGTGGGCGACTGCGTGACCTTCCTCGGCACCGCCAACTTCAGCTCTACCAGCTACACGATGTACATGTGCTGCAAGCAGCTCTTTGCCAGGTGGGTGTGAAGGGCCCCAGAGCCGTATGGTCCTGCCCGGGGACCCAGGTGGTGGGACAGCAGCTCATCCAGACCATGCTTCTCTCCTTCCAGCTCGGTGCTCGAGAACGGGACGCTCTCCTTCACGGGAGCCTGGGCCGGCGCGGCGGAAAGCATGCTGTGCCTGACGCAGTGCTGCGGGCACTACAACCACACGTCCTGCGCGGGGACAACCTAGAAACGTGCAGGCAGCTGCCCGCTCCGGGGGCGAGGGCCTGGGAGCACCAGGGTCTGCAAGGCCTGGCCCCAAAGGTAGAAAAAACCCCGCAGAGACCTGTGCGTTTTGTCTCCTCCGCTCCAGTGATGATGGACAGCCGCGTGCACCTTGCAACCAGTACCCTTAGGTGCTGGCCCCGCGGACACAAGGGAACTGCTCCCAAATAAATCATGGAAATCCCTGTGTGCTTGCCCTCAGCCCCTCTCTGGCCCCTGACCGCGGCTGTCCCACAAGGCGTGAGATGCTTTGCTTAGGCTGCACCCCGCAACCGCAGCTGCCGTAGCTGGCATTTGCTACAGACCTCGCAAGCCGAACCTCCGCCAGGTGCCAGCTTTAGAGTCTGGCCCCGGCCACCCTCTTCTCCCCCGCGGGGTGCGGATGGGGGTAAAGCCATTACTTGAAGACGTTTCCTTCCGCCGAACGCAAAGCCGCCCCGTCCTGCTGTGCTTGGGTGCATCTTTTCCGCAGGGACCACAGCACTGGGGAACAGGCCAGTCCTTCTCACTTTATTGCACTCGAGAGCACCCATTTGCCAACGCAGGCCACGTTATGTACATCGTTATTTTACAATGACCCAACAACAAAACACCAGGGCCCCAGAGCATGCCACACTCCCAGCCCAGTCCCTTCCCTCATCCGCCAGGCTGCACCGAGCCACCATTTTGGACACCACCATGCGGGGTGGCATTGCTGGCACCCAGCATCCTCCTCCAAAGCCCTAGGGAAGGCGATGCTCTGCGGCAAGTTGAAGCAGGCAGCGCTGGGGCTCTTTGCAAGCCTTGCTGCCCACTGCCACGCTCTGCCGGCTGCTGCATGCCTGACCGAGCTGACAGGCACAGGGGAGGTTTGACGCAACGTAGGGTGCTTTACTTTCCAGCATGAGCATCGCTGCCTGTCTGTCGCTGCCGCCTGCCGCAGGGCAGCGGGATCTGGAGAGGGTGCCGCTAGCTGCCACTGGGGTACGGCATGTGCCAAGGGGTGATGCTAAGCAAGCATGACCAGGTCGTGCTATGGGGCTGGGCAGGGCGTACAGGGTCTGCGTATGGCAGGTGGGCAAGGAGGGGTGAGTCCTGTGGGCTGGACACCCGCATGTGCCAAAGCAGTGCCTGGCATGGAGCGGCAGTCTCCCCTTCGCCCCGCTCCCGGGTGTCCTGTGTGAGGTAGAGCATCCTTACCATGGCACTGGCCAGCACCCATAGCAGCACCGCCGCCCTCAGCATCCGCCCGGCAAGGGGGTGGGAGGCTCACCCCAGGGCGCAGGGGAGGCCGGGAGGGCAGGGGTGCAAAATCCCATCCCCATGCAGCTGCCGGTACTGACGCCAGCCCCCCGCCACGGGACCAGCCTGCACCCCAGAGCCCCATGCAATAGCAGCAGGAGCCCTGCAGCTCACCACTAAACCCCTCTGCAGCAAAACCTTTTAAATCACAGTGTGCCAGGGCAAATGAGACCGCCTGGGCGCTGTTGAGGTTCACATCCTTGACACAGAGCGCTGGTGGGGCTTGGCGTGGTCGCTTTAAGGAGGACACAAAGAGGGACATGAGGTGCTGGGAGCCAGGAGGGCAGCCTGGACTCCCAGTTTTCTCAGGGGAGCCAGACAGGGGGCACGGCCCCTGCGAAGCCCGAGGGAGCAGGTCTGACAGCCCCCGCCTTAAGGAAGGCAAACGGAGAGAGTCGAGAGAGGAAAGCGAGCCTGAGCGTGGAGGGGCACATGGCCCCACAGGTTCCACCACTGGCAGCAGCTCTTGTAAAGAGGTATTGGCGAGGGGGTCTGCACTGCCCCCGGCTCACAGCCCCACCATGACCCCAGCCGAGCCGCTCACACTAGCACACACCACACAATGCAAGAGCCGCGAGCTGGAACGGGAGCCAAAGGGAGGAGAGCGGCGGGAGCCGCGGCCGGGGTCTCCCCTTCCCAGCTTGGTCTCCTGCTGCCTCCAGGCTGCTTGGGCTGGGGTCCGGAGCGGGGTTCCCAGCTGCAGTGGCTCCAGCTACTGCCGGCAGCCAGACCTGCTTCTCTCTCCTGACCCGGGTTTGGAAGCTGCCGGGGCCTCCCCTGTTTCTGCAGCTCTCCGGGAGCTCTTGGGGCTCACAGCAGCCTTGCGGGTACCCTGGGGACTTGCCAGCCCCTTCTTCTGGAACTGGGGGCTGGACTGGGCAGATTTCCTACCCATGGAGGGGCTCTTGGAGCCCTTGGGCTTCGCTGGCTCCAGTGTCTTCAGGCCCAGGATGCTGCAGTAACGGTTACACTGGTGAGTGGCCACAAATTGCTCCAGCAGGGAGGGGAAGCAGCTTTCCTTCAGCCCCTGGTACCTGCCAACACAGCCATCCTCAGCCCCTGCTTCGCACCAGGAGATGTCCTGCCGTAGCAGGGAGCCGAGGATGGAGCCCGGCCATGCTCACCACCGTGGCCCTTCGCCACATGAGCGGCGGAGCTGGGGACAGCCGGGACCACCCCGCGCCAGCAGCTCAGGGTCACTCACCCTTTCAGGTTGGTAGCAATCCGCACGTTGGTCATCTTCCAGCCCACTCCTGCAATGAAAGGGAGGACAACCAGTCTCTGCCCAGAGAAGGACGGGCACTGGCACGGAGGGCAGGTCATTGCCCTGCAAGCTGGGCTCCATGGCACGTGGGGAAAGAGGCAGGAGGGCAAGGCTGGGCTTTTCCTCCTCCTTTCACAGGCCAGAGGGTGGTGAGGGGCCACAGGAGTCAGATGGGAAATCCCTTTACCTTCCATGTCTGTCACAAGGATGTTTCCATTTGTCCACTGGTAGACCCAATGCTGGAAGGTGCAGCATTTGAGCACGATCTCCGAGGTGCCTCGTGCCACCAAGCTGCCATCTCTCTCGGTGACACAGTACTGCTCGCAGAGCCCACCCAGGTCCTCCTCCATCGTGGCATAAGGGATGTTGTTGGCTGGTCGGTAAATCAGGTACAGAGGAATTATCCTGCATGGGAGCACACAGACTGGGTCAGAACCAGCTGGCAAGCTCTCCCACCACAGCAAGTGGAGATTCACACCGCGGTCTGCAACCCTGGCTTTTGCCTTCCCCCCCGCCCAATATCCCTTCCATTTGAGGGTGGGAGAAGAGCACGCTGCCCTTTGGGATGTCCCTAGCACCCACAGGGAACCCTCCCACCATCCCCCGGGATGCTCTGCCGGGGTTTCAGGCCAGCAGAGCTGCAGCACCTTACTTACTCAGGCACCACTCCAAAATCAGGGATGGCTCGTGCCTCAGCAGCAAAGATCTTGCAGTACTCGCGGCTGGAGTTCTGGATTTTACATTCCTGGAGATGCAAACAGAAGAGTCAGGGACCTGTCCTGTCTTGCACCAATGCCTCCCTGGAACCCCCGGCCTGGCCAGGCATCCCCTGGGACCGCTGCCAGTTGTTTCCCTGTCCTGGTAGTGAAAGGACAAGTGACAGAAAAGCTCTGAGCAGCTCCGTGTTGCTCAGAGAGAAGAGCTGAAGCCAAGAATAACAAGGACATCGCCAGCCCGCTGGAACATGGCTTGACCCCTCCAGAGCATTCAAAAAGTGGAAGGAAATAAAGTGGGCACAGAGCTGGGGACCATGGCACAGACAGACGGGGAAGGCGTGGGGGAGACAGGCAGAGGGTGCCCCACAAGGACGCCCACCTGGATGGTGATATCGTAGTTCTTCTCGATGAGGCTGTTCTCGTTCTTGGTCCCAAAGACAATGAAATTGTGCACTTTGATGACGCAGGTGTGGCCGGACTCAAAGACGGGCTCCAGGCCGTAGATGGCTCTGGCACGGCAGGCTTTGCGCAGGAAACCGGCACCCACTTCCACGTCCTCGCTCACCACACGCCCGAAGAGCTTATCCCCCCAGTAGCCTGCGTCAGCCAAACCCTTCGCGAACACCATGGGCGTCATCTCGATCTCCTCTCCAACTGGCAGAGGGAAGAGCTGGTGAGGGGGGACAACGCGGGCACGTCCTGCCCCCGCCACAGAGCTGCCTGCCCCCCGCGCAGCAAGGGGCAGCAGTTGCAGCTTGTCAGCATGTGGCCCTTACCTTCGATCTCTTCCCGCAAGATAAATCCTGACAGCACTAGAGGAGACAGAAAGCAAAGAGGTGTCAAGGTCCTGCCAGGATCCCACCCTGCCCCATGCACTTCCACACCAAGGGATGGCAAGGAGGATGGTGTGAATCGCTCATAAATTAGCACATGGAGGCAGATGCACCTCACAGAGGTGGTGTTATGGGGCATGCAAGGCTCCCCCTCCACAGCCTGGCACCAAGCCCTCTCCGCAGTTCACCACGCCGCCCCACGGCACACCCGGGCAGCTGGGAGAGCTGCCAGGCTGCTGAGGGCTCCTCACCTTCTGGGCTGAGCAGGAAATCAGTGGAGTCAGTGCCATACTCATTGCTGATCACGCACCGGTAGACCCCGCAGTCCTTCTGGGATGCCTGGACTACAGCCAAGGCTGCCTGGCCCTCGTCGCCAGCGCTGGAAGAAACCGGAGCATGGCCTCAGCCCCGTGTGATGTGTGGGGGCACACAGGAGCACACAGGCACACAGGGACACACAGGAGCATCACAGGCACTGTGGGTGGGCACCATGCTGCCCTTGGAGGGCTGGAAGAGGGCTACAAAGGAAGCCAGCCCAAGGGTATCCCAGCTGTTCCCCTGGCACCTCATGGCACCAGGCGTCTGGCCCTGCAATTTGTACTCACAGAGATACTCGTCTTCCAGGCAAGCCCTGCAAAATCTGGCCGGGTTTGGGCTACAGACTGGTAAAGGTACTCGCCTCTGAGTGTGGCTGGGTCAGGGCTGTGCTTGGGCTAACAGACCCGCATCTGGATGGGATGGCTGGAAGCCAAACAGCCACAGACATGTCCAGCTTCATTTTCAGCTGTTCACGAGTGAGGGCAGACACCGCTCCCCATCCTACAGCCTGCCCCTCTCCGAGGGACTGGCAAAGCATGACCTCTGTATCAGCAGGCTGCCGGTCTTCTCCAGCCTGCAGCACCAAGCTTTGGGCTAGCAGTTCTTCTAGCCAAGGTGGCGACACACTGGGCAGACAGGTCTCTGCAAGAACCAAAGGCCTGTTTCTGCCTCGCATGGCCAGTGTGAACCAGCAAGGGGATGATGGGCCACAGAGGGAAGAGGTGGGACCCTCATCCTGAGACCCGCTGGCTGAGCAGGCTCTGCTCTGGTCAGCTAGAAGGCAATGGCCACTCCTGGTCCATCTGCCCCAGCTCAAATATTTGCCGTAGGAGATTGTTTCTGCCCCAGAAGCACATCTTTCTGCCTGCTCATTATAAAGGGAGCTCAAGGGATGCTCAAAGGCATCAGGCAAATCCTATCCAATGTGGATGATGTTCCCACACAAGCTCCCTTGGGCTTGAGAAAAAGTTGCTCTCCATAATGCAC